AGTGGTCAGGAAATTGAGAAGGAGTGGAGGGACATGGGATGTATTGGAAGAGAAAGAGAGAGTAGAAATGATGTAAATACTATGATATTCTTTAAAAGTTAAATTATATAATATCATATTACCCTACCTTCCCTGAGGAACTATTGGCATCTGATCACTGCTGGTGAGGGAGATTTGCTTGTAAGGAAATGATGCTAGATAGGTTGACCAGGACCCAATGGATGAATTCACACTGAGGGATATTTGGGGACACAATCTTAAATAAATAGACCTTAACATATTAGACAGAATGCATGAAATCCAGTGAGGGCACTATATGGTGGCACAGATAGGGTAAGGGGTCTAAACATGATCAAAAAGGATTTTTTTTAAAAAACAAAAAAAAAAAAAAAAAAGCTAGACTCTCAGCTGCAGTTGCACAGGCTCTTCTGCACAGATGCTAACCCCACTGGTGTGTGGCAAAAGCATTAGGAAGGAAACAGCTAAGTTCCTACACAAAAGCACTAAATAAAGAGGAGGAACAGAGAAGGGACAGACCAGCAGCGTAGCAGTGGGGCACAGACCTTAAGAATTTGACACAAACACAAAACTAATGCAGCACTAGCAGGAAGAGCTCTTTGAAACTATAAAAGCAGCTCCGTGTGACCTGCTGCTGCTCTGTTATGTGCTACGTCACTCTGCGTAAACAGTTCCTCTAGTCCATAAAATGAAGAGGACACCCCTGGGGAGAAGTCTTTTATCTGGTCTAACGTTGCACCACCAGAGGAGGCAGCACAGGAGGGCGGCTCCCAGCCAGCTCACCAGCTCCGTGGGCAAATGGCCTCCACAGACATTTCCAGAGACACAAGCATGTAAGCGTGCACCACACCTAACCATGACAGAAATTCAAACTACCATGTGATGCCATGGCACCTCAGTTACAATGATCATCAAACACACACAATTACAGGATGTGAGAAAGAGGAAGTCCCATACAGTGTTGGTGGAGATGTAAGTAACAGGCACTACGCAAAACAGCATGGAGCTTACAAAAAAACTAGAAGGTCAACCATCATACAGTGCCGTAAACCCCGGGGAAAGCAGACCGTTCCCAGGAAATCCACCTCGGTGTCTGAAGAGAATCTGCGCACATTTACTGCAGCATCATGATAGGGAGCCAACCTAGGAGTCATCCACAGATGGAGTAGGAAGATGTGGTAAACATAGAGAGGACGGCATCATCCAGGTCTTAAAACGTCCTGAACGTTCTCTCACGGGAGTATATAACCAAAGGGCAGGCGTGTTAAATAAAGGAAATCAAGCCCAGAGACAAACACTGCATATTCACATGCAGTTGGAAGCTAATGTGGACCTGAAAGAAACAGAAAGAACATCTGGTCACCAGAGCCTAGGAAGGCTGTGTGGGAGGGAGGAAGGTAGGAAGAGACTGCGGTGACTGAACAACAGGAGATGGGGCATAACTCCCACTGTTGCTGGAGGTGGTGGTGCACGCTTTTAATCCCTGCACTTGGGAGCTAGAGGTCGGGGGATCTTGGTGAGTGTGATCCACCCTGGTCTAAATAGTGAGTTCCAGGCCAATAATGGCACATAGTGGGACCCCGTCTCAACAGACAAACATACTCCCACCCATGCAACAGAAGTATGACTGTGGTCAACAATTTCTTCAAAGCAATAGGTAGAGTTTTAAAGTTCTCAACACAATGGAATGTGATCATTATATTTACGCAATATTGCAAAAAACCTACTTTTCATAAATATGTACAATTATTATGTGTCAGTTAAAATGTACAAATGGCCTGGAGATAAAGTCAGGCCTTGCCTAGTATGAACACGACTCTTCAATCAGTTATCAGAAAAGAGAATCCTTAGAAATGGTTCCTGGATTTACCAACAAGGGATCTGCTTCCAGCTGGACACTGTAGATGCACTCACCCAAGGACGCCAGGCTGCTGTAGGTCTCCAGCATCACGTCCCTGTATAGCGTCCTCTGAGCATCATCCAGGTCCTGCCACTCCTCCCAGCTGAAGTCCACAGACACATCCTCAAATGACACCAACTCCTGAAACGAGACATTTCTCCTCAGCCCAAGCCCAGCCTCGGGTCAGAAACAGGAATATGGAGGTCACTCCTCTGAGTGAGCATGTTAACAGACAAAATCCCTGGCAAGCAGACAGGGCCACTTGTGAGTAACAAAAATGGCACACTTCTGCCTTCTTCTTGGTCTGAGACAAAGACCTGGCAGTCTTTTCCCCTGTTGACAAGGCCCTCTTTTGGCTTACCGGCCTAGACCAGTTTAAAACATTTTTTTTTCTTATTTTATGTGTATGAGTGTTCTGCCTGCATGCGAGTGCACTCACGTATGCAATGATGGAGGCTGAAGAGGGTGTCATGTCCTGGAACTGCAGTTATGGACAGCTACTAGCTACCGTGTGGGTGCTGGAAGCCACATCTGGATCCTCTATAAGAGCAGTCAGTGCTCTTCACCACTGAGTCATCTCTCCAGCCCCCAGACCAGTTCAGATAAAAATCTAGGCCAGTCTAAACACATCTCGGATTGGAGCTGTAGCCTATCGGCTCTCTCTTCTGTGTTTAAGTTGATTAATCCAAAATTAGGGGAGGGGAACCCACCAAAATACATGAAAGACTGGAGTTCTGGGGGGGGGGGCAGCTTTGTATTTCTTGGTTTCTGAACCCCCTGTCCACTTATGGAGACCTTTTCTCTGTGTGGCTGTGGGTATGTGCATATTTCTCCTAATAAAGTTTGTTACCTATTGTTTTTGGGCTCTGTCTGAGATTTTTCCCTGCCTTTTATTTTATTATTATTATATTTTTTTGGTCTTTTTGAGACAGGGTCTATCTATAGCCCCAGCAGGCCTAGAACTTGTTATGTAGACCAGGCTGGCCTCAATTTCACAGACATCTGCCTGCTTCTGCCTTCAGAGTGCTGGGATTAAAGGCATGCGCCATTCTGCCCACCTACGCCTTTAAAATTTTTAATTGGGGAAGAAAATGAACCTGAACGAGACCTTGAGACAGTAACAGGCATGTCCCATGGAAGATGCAGCTTACTGGCTTTCGTTATCATGGAAGGAAAATCATCAACCAAACACCTTGCCTTTGTACTAACTTGGTGATGAGTGACAAAGGAGGAAAACACAAGTAACGGACACGCCTTAGGTCTCCACTTTAAAAACATGCCTCCACTTTAAAAACATGTCCTTCCTAAATTAGAAAGAAGTCCTAGAACCATAGAACACAGACATGAACATCACCAACATCCTACAAGCCAATATATAAACATGCAGAGGCAAATAAAAAATGGTTACTCATTGCATTGACATTTTGAAAATCACCCCATGGAAGGACAGTGGGAGCACCTGAGGCAGAGCCAAAGGGGAAGAAACACCACATCCTCACATCTGGAAATAACAGCACGAAAAATACAGAAAGGGAGTCATGCATGGCGGCAAGCACCAGGAATCCCACGTTGGGAGGCTGAGGCAGGAGGACATGGAGGTGGAGGCCAGCCAGTGGTGTAGAGCTGGGCAATAATGGAGTCTATGGAATCTGGAACTCGTCGTGCAAGGAAACACAAAGCAGCACAGAAAATAAAAGGTAGGAACAGGATCTTCATTCGTTTCCTTTGCTTTGATAAATATGGAGTTTGTTTCCAAGCTTTTTTATTAAGTGATTATGTAGGAACTGATTCTGTAACTAGAACTGGGAAAAACAATGAGCACTTACAGGCAGAAGTCAGAACTGGTCTCGGAGAAAGGCAAAGTTCGTGCCGTCACCGAAAACTGGACGCAAGAGACTTACAATGAGCACGAAGACTTAAACAAATTTCAGGCAGTGCCATCGGAGTGAGTGAAAGGCTTAAAAGACACTTAGGTCATAAAAAGAATGATCAGGTTTATGGGAGGAGACGAGGAAGAAGAATCAGGAGAAAACTGATATTCACAGACTGAGGAAGAGAAACAGGTATGAGAACAGAGCATTAGGAAATACAAACGTTCAACGTCAAGTCTGCTGACAGTTAACTGGAAACAGGAGGGAAGAGCTTCTCTCTCGCTTATCCACTTACCTGTGTAGGAGAGGTACTAGTCAACATGGCAAACACTCAATGGTTCCACCATCAGCATATAGCCAGCTCTCTGCATGTCTGAGGTTTGCACCCATGGACTCAATGTCGATGTGACTGGTCCCCAAAAGACTGAGAATATAGGGCAGCGTGAGATTTGCTGCGGGTCAACCAGCTGTGACTATTCTGAGCCACTGTGGTTTGAAAAACTGAGCCGATGACAAGAGGCCTCACTGACAGAAAACAGGACAAGCTACCAAAGGATGACTTGGACCTTGCTCTATGCTCCAGGGTAGGACACCTAGCATGTGGCTTTATCTCACAATCCTGAGTGAGACATAGAACCTGGTGGACACTAAAGGACTCATATGTAGGTCAGTACTCTGCAGACCAGCCCCAGCATCAGGTGACCTGAGCACTGGTGGGACAGATTTGATTTGCAACCTGTGTTGCTTTAAGCCTTAAAATAGACCAAGGCACATCTGCAATCCTCCTGTGGTTATGGTGGCCCCTTTGATTGTGAGTCTCTGGCATAATCAACATCAGACCTACTTATATATACCCTACACACACAGACACACACAGACACACAGACACACAGACACACACACACACAGACACAGACACAGACACTAAATGAAATGTAACAAAAATTTCAAGAAGGCTACAGGCTGGGCATGGTGGCCCACACTTTAATCCCAGCACTCCGAGAGGCAGAGGCAGAGGATCTCTGCAAGTTCAAGTCCAGTCTTGTCTACATAGTGAGTTCCAGGTCAGCTGCAGCTACAGGGAGACCCTGTCTCAAAAAGACCAAAGACCAAAAAAAAAAAAAAAGGAGGAGGTGGAGGAGGAGGATAGTGATAATAGAATGAAGAGGACTGAGGAACGCTCAAGGAAACTTCAGGACACTTATTAAAATGACAAGCACTGGGGCTGCTGAGCTCAAGACGGGCTTCACAATGCCAAAGCTTATTCAAAGAAATAACAGAAACTTCTAAAATCTGTGATAGTAACATACTCCCACAGGAAGTCAAAAGACAACAGCCAAGTGCAGCTTAACCAAGAGTTCCCCATGTATCCTATAATCAATTTCTCAAAGAATGCCAATCGGCCTGATTGCAGACTTCTCAGCAGAAACCTAGCAGGTCAGGAGAGCATCATGAGACCTGCAGGAAACTGAAGGAAAAACTGTTAACTGAAGGCTACACCTAGTGAAGGAAACCTACCCTTTGACCATGAAGGGGAGAGCAGAGTGGAGCTCTGTGTTACAGGGTATGTCCAGCACGTCAAGGCTCAGGATACAATCCACAACACCACACAGGGAATGAAAGAGAGAGACATTTCTAGAGAAAGAAAGAAGATGGGAGCGGCGGGAATCTCCACCAAATCTGTTCCGCTAGAAATGCCAAGGAGAGTCTGGAAAGCTGAAGAAACTTGCACTAATGCATAAGAACAAATCATGGCAAAGTAGAAAAACTAATTAAACTAATTATGAAAATATATTCACAACGTTTTAATATAGGAACATCATGCAGGAACCACTCATAACATTTTTAAGGTGGTCAAAACAATTACAGTAATAGCCACACTGCTTGAGGGTTCTGTAGATTAACAAGCATGTCATTAGGATCAGAAGCTAAACAGTCTTAACATTGTCATCTCTGAACAGGAGGATGGAGAAAGCAGCAGTTGCTCAGCCCGAGAAGTCAGAAACCGGAGAACAAAGTGACAGACGACTCAGCCCTCTCTGAGGCAGAGAGTCACTGGACTAAGTCTAGGCTCAGAGGCTGAAGGAGCTGGAGTCTCTTTCTGCTCACTGCATCTCCTGCCTCACAGCCTACAGGATGGCGTCCATCCCACATCCAAGCAGGTCTTCCCACATCAGCTGCCAGAGCACACAATAATTCTCAATGAAATCAACATCAGAGACACATCCAAAAGTGTGTTTTATTAATTTCCTAGGGTCTCTAAACCCTATTAAGCTGACAAGATTAACCATCACAAGTCCATCCCTTGTCAATCTGACACCCAAACATATCTGCTTGCCATACTTAATCTCCAAAGAAATAGAATAAAATGGTCATAATTCCATCTACCAGGATACAACTGCCCTGCATGTATCCAATGAAAACTGCACCAATTCCTCAGGAAAGGCAACGGTTTTTGAGACATGCTGATCTTTCTATGATCTTATACCTTAAATAAGGAAGATGTGGTAACACTAAGGCAGTGATATAAATGTAACCAAATTAAGCTACACAATAAAGAAATATGTTGCCAGGCACGGAGGTGCACGCCTGTAGTCCCAGCACTTAGGAGGCAAAGGCAGGCGGATCTCTATGAGTTCAAGGCCTGCCTGGTCTACATAGTGAGTTCCAGGCCAGCTGGAGCTGTAGGGGGACCTGTCTCAAAATGACCCCACCCCCAAAAGAAATATGCAAAGAAATCCAAAGACATCTGCTTAATATATGCAGACATACACAAAAACATGTTCTGGGGAAGTACTCCATCACTGAACTACAGACTTAGCCAGAAACATGTAATAATATGGAAGTAAACACTCGTTGCAACTATAGCACGACCCTCCAGCACTACCCACTGTAACTGGTCATGTGATTATACGGGTCAACTATCGATTACTTCTGGTACTCAATCTGTATTCCTCCAGCCTTCAGCCAGTGTCTTATCAGACCATGCTTCTTTCTGGGAGAGTAGACACATAATCATACTTCAAGAATCTGGGACATTCATATTCCTGCCTGCCTGATTTGTTCTGCTTCTCAGTAACCTGACTGGTGGAGCCAGACTGCGAGGGGGAGTGTTTTGGGGGGTTACATCCACCCTGGTTCCACATCTCTCAGCTTCCATGTGCGGTGATGTGAACTGCACCTCTTTACACCCCACCGATGGAGCCACTCCAACCTGCCATCGCCGCCACGGGGGCCGACACCTCGGAAGCAATGAATCAACAGAGATCTGTCTTCCTAAGCTGTTTCTGTCAGGTATTTGGTCACAGTAAAACATAAGTAGCTAGTAGCCTCCCCTATTTCCATGTAGTCCAAATTTCTCTTGCATTCTGGATCCCTCAGCCAAACCAACATGTAACTCATTTTCTACCCAGGGCCTTGGATGCACAAGGAACACAGGTGCACAGGACAAAGGCAAACCCTTCTGATGAACAGAGTCCTGTCTGTGGCTCAGGCAGAAACATTACCCCTTCTCAAGCTAAGATGGTCAGTGCAGGGGAGCTGGAGGTCAGGGGTTGCAGAAACACTAATGTTCCTAGTCCTGAATTCTTCACCTGTAAATTCCACTGTTGAAATCACCTTTTGGTGAAGATTGGCAGAGAACACAAATATCTTCAGCTCCTCCTACTACTCAGAGAAATGTGTCAACATCCATGCTCCCCAAATGTCTCTGGCCTCAGTTTTCAAGTCACGTTCCTCCTAAGCTGCTGAACTCCTCTGTCCAGCTCAGTGGGAACTGCGCTCACCCGCTGATTCCTGCACTATAGCTTCTGTCTACGAGAAAAGTCATGCAATGTGTTGAACCTGATTCAGTGCACATACAGTCTTGGGGAGACTCCCACACTACTGCAGGGTTCAGGGCACTGGAATGAAGTTGGCCCTATTTCCTGTGATTGAAAAATGCATGAAGGCATTTTTGAGGAAAGAAGGACAATTTTGTATGATCTGTAAACTAGGTGGGCGCACTGACATAAAAGCACAGAAGCAGGAATTGAGCAGTACTAGATGTATGCTATTTCTACTTAATACTGTGTTCCTCTCCTACGGCTCTTACTCAAATGGTATCCTGCTATAATCTGTTTCCTTCCACTAACTCCTGAAGCTGTCACCACACCTGCTTGTTAGCAGTGGTCATCGAGGATCAAATCTCACCATTGAGAAAACAGACCCTTCAAGCTTGGCAGAGGGACTTTTCCAATGTATAAAGGACAGCTGCTGCATTTGTCTGAGAGCAACCACACTTCCTCACCATCTGTAGGGTAGTCACAAATATAAAAAAGCAGTAACAAACCAAGGTTGCAGGAATGGCAACACACATTAAGACCTCAGGGAGCAGAGGAGAGAGGAGAAGGGATTAGATGAGGAAGAAGGGTCCAGAAAAATTCTTCCTTTCAGTGTGCTGGGTCAGGGCCACTTGGTAGACTTGCAGTGATATTCAGAAGGGAAAATGCAGCCTGGGATTTCAATGGGATAACTTGAGGTGACTTTGCAGAGCTGCATGGTAGCTGAACTTCTGATCTGACAGCTGAGGCAAAGGTCCAAGGTACAGCAAACAGGAAACACCAAGTCCTCACACTGCAATGAATGTAGAACAGGGCAGAACACAGGGATGAACGTGGTAAGAAAAAGAACACCCAGGGGAAAAGAGAAGAACGCACCAGCAGTCAGGACAGAGCCTGACATGACGGAGTTCCAGAAGGTGACGGCAGTAGTTTGGAGCGTGGCGGAAGATCTGAGTAAGGCAGGCGGAAGAGAAGGGTGTCTGCATTTACCATAGCTTATGTTTCGATGAAGTGTGGAGAATGTGAACTGAGAGTCAGCAGGAACAGCACGAACCAGAAATCACATTATTACCAGGAAGCCTATCTGTGGACACCACTATAATCTACACATATACACAGCACAGAGGAATGAAGGAGAGTCGTTTAAGGACCTGTCTTCACACATTCCAGATCTCATCTGACAGCAAGTGCAGTCTGAAAGCCGTCTGGAACGACACAACTTAGCCCAGTCCAGAAAACCCTTCTGACTTGATCTGTGTTTTAGAACCACTGAACCTTCACCACTGCTGAATGCTGTGCATATCTTGAGGTTGGCAGTGAAGCAATGTCTACATCACGTGTGTCCACAGTCTGTTTAGACTTCATAGGTCATGAGAATTCACATCTTTTTCTTCCTGAGTCAATCCAACTCCTAGAAGAAACAGTCTTTTGTGCCACCACATCAGGAAAACCCGAGACCAATCTGCATGTGATTTAAGTCACTCTAAAAAAGGCCTTATAATGTTGCTGCATAAACATGGATGTTAGCATCTGTATGTATGTTTTATATTGTTTACTCTTTCATTCCAATTTTCAAAGCTCCTAAATATGATGAGTAACTGGACCACTTACCACAGATGCGTTCATTGTCCTAGTTCTTCCACACACGGAGAGGACAGTCCAGTCACAGCTGGAAGAGAAGGTGAACAGGAGTCAACACAGACTTGATGAGTCTTGGCTTGAGGATTCCATTCAAGTGTGCAAAGACCTCTACCTAGCTGCTGAGGAAAACGTTCAGGACAATAAAAATGCCTCCCTGTCTGGAAACTGTCTGTGACACTTGAGAGCTGGCACAACAGACCTGGTTGAAGGAGCACCAATAACTTTATTAACAGGTAGATACTGAACATAGTTTATCTACAGCTTATTGAAAACATTTGCTGCTTCCATAGTAACTATGGTATTATAAAGAAACAATGCAATGTTTTGTTTTAAGACAGGCTCTCACTATGTGGTCCTGGCTGTCCTGTTTACTCACAGGTAGCCCAGGCTGCCCCCTGCTGCAGGTGTGCTGGGATTAAAGGCGTGTACCACCTTGCCTGGCATAATGCAATGTTTTCAGGATGGATGTTGAATGAGCTTATGGAATCATAAAAATGAATTTACAGAAAGGTAGTATTACCTAGGTCCCTGTCACTGCAGATGTACCACACAGGACTCTCTGTCAGTGTTCCGATAGCACTGGGCTTTACACGGTTACATTTCACAGAAAGCCTGCCTCATCCAGTCTAAACCATTTGGCCCAAGCCAGAGGCAAAAGTGAATGCAAATATTTACTCAGGACTTTGGCAGTACTGTTTCACAACGCCCTTTCCCTGCACTCACCTGTTGGTGTAGTTTTGTCCCACAGTTCCACTTGCTCTGGATAGTGGGGCACCAATAAATGTGATGGAAGCACAGTTTTTAATGGGTTTTCCCACTGGAACTTGCTGGGATGACACCTTTATTACTACACCCACTAATACACCAATTTTTGAAAACAGTATGAAGGTCTTCAGAACATTAAAAGAAAAGCTGCCACACGCTCCGGGAACCCCAATTCTGGGGGCAGATCCAAAGGAGCTGGACTCACAGTATGGAGGAGCTGCCCTCGGTTAACACTGCTGTGTCATGGCTTTTCCTGCAGACATCCCAGGGCAGGCGCCATGGCCAGGAGTCAGTGCCTTAGGACAGGCGCCATGGCGTGCAGCGCTGACGCCTGTCAGTGGTCACTGTGGAGGAGCTGTCAACAGTCTTGTCACAGGACCCCCACGCGGGCTCCCAGCCAGTGCTCCTGCTCAACGCCCCACCCCTCCAGGGCCTTACAGAGCTGGGTCCAGGGTTCCCAGTGCCTTCCTCTCCTATGATGCGCTCACAATCACATCCTACAGCCACCATCTGCAGGGTTCCTATGAACTGCAGACAGCCGGGTGGGGGGAGGGCGGCGCTCAGGAGCGGCAGGAGGGGGATTCGGGAATCTGAGCGGACCCAGGAGCCCCGGGCCCAGGAGCACTGGACATAGGAGCACCGGACCCAGGAGCACTGGACCTAGGAGCCCCGGACCCAGGAGCCCCGGACCCAGGAGCACTGGACCTAGGAGCCCCGGACCCAGGAGCACTGGACCTAGGAGCTCCGGACCCAGGAGCCCCGGACCCAGGAGCACTGGACCTAGGAGCACCGAACCCAGGAGCACTGGACCTAGGAGCTCCGGACCTAGAAACACTGAACGCAGTAGCCCAGGAACTAGGAACACTGGACCCAGGAGTCCCGAACCCAGGAGCACTGTGCCTAGGAGCCCTGGGCCGGGGCAGGCTGAACTCAGTTTCCCGCAACGACTGACGGATGCCTGGGCCCTCAGCCTTGCACAGGCCTCCGCCCCACAGCGCTTGCACAACTGCGGGAGGGGGACAAGGACCCACCCCGACCGGTTCCCGCCGGCTGGGCCTGGCCGCACTCACCCTAATCCGGGTGCACCTCCCAGCGGATCTCCGCAGGTTCGAGTCTGCGCCCGACGTGGGCGGGAACCGGAAGAGGGCAGCGCCGCGAAGGGCCGGAAGTGTGTGTGAGCCGCCGCCGAGCCCACGTCCGATTGGGCAGGTCCCGAGTCTCCGCCCGTCACCGGACCGAATTCCGAGTGACATCGGGCGGCGCCGACGGAGCGGGGCGCGGCGGGTCCTTCTGCCCGAGCCTGCGCCGCGGACCCCGCAGGGCGGCGGCGTCCGGCGCGGCTCTTCCTCGAGCGGCTGGTTTCGTTTTAACACGGCGTCCTTCGGCCTTTCCCACGTCGTCTAGCACGACGGGGTTTGTTGTTTTTCAGGATGTTTCATCGTGGGGTTCGCGTGGGCTGTGGACGGACACCCTGCCCGGGGCCACCCTGACAGACACCCTGCCCGGGGCCACCCTGACACCCTGCCCGGGGCCTTCACGTGCTCGGAACCGGAACACTCGATTCCGTGGTTGCATTTTAATCTTCGTGAGGAACCTTCGCGTTTTCCAAAATGGACGTACATAGATCCGTTCTCAGCACCTGGGTTCCGTGGTCACACACGTCTCCACATCAGAACGACACTTGTCAACTCTTCTGTTACCGATAAAGTCACTTTTTAAAAATATTTGCATTTTATGTGTATGCGTGTATTCTCTGCGTGCAGGCAGGTGCGCCCACGGAGGTCAGAGGAGGGCGTCGGATCCTCTGGAACTGGAGCTGTGGACAGTTGTCAGCTGCCATGTGAGTGCTTGGAATCGAACCCAGGTCCTCTGCAAGAGCAGCGCTGACTCTCCAGCCCCTTATAAAATCACTCTGACAGGTGGCGACTTACTGTGGTTTTAATTAGCATTTTCCTGGTGTTTGGTGTTGAGAATTTATTCATGAACCTGTTTACCATTTGTACATGTTTGGCAAGTTTATATTTAATACCATACACATAAAACTGAATAAAACTTTTCCAGACAAAGCTAATATCCATGCCATTCTTTTTTTATTAAAAATGTCTTAAAGTTTATTTATCGTTCAAATTAATTTACTTCATAATGACATTTCCACACAAGTGTAATATATACTTTGGACATAGTCATCTTATTCCCCGTCTTTTCCCGTCCCCTTTCCAAAGTCCTGTTACTCTTCCTAAATATTTTCCCAATATATATGAATTCAGGAGCTGGAGATATGGCTCAGGGGTTAAGGGCACTTGCTGCACTGTCAGGGGACCAGCCCAACCCCTGCATTGGGCAGCCCACAACCTCCTGTAATTCCATTTCCAGGAGATCTGATGCCCTCTTCTGGCCTCTGGGCACCCACACACAAGTGGCACACACATAGACATGAACACACATGCATACAAAAAATTATATATATGAATGAAATCAAGTTTTGGCTTATGAAGGAAAACACGCATCATTTGTCTTTCTGAGTCTGGCTTACCTTATTTGTGAAGATCTCCAGTTCTATCCATTTTATTTGTTCCTTTGTTTTTTGAGACAGGGTTTCAGTTTGTAGCCCAGGCTGGCCTCAAACTCAGACATCTACCTGTCTCTTCCTCACTAATGCTGGGATTAGGGAAATGTGTTTTGTGAAACATGTTAAGATGTTTTGCCTATTTTAAAAAAAGATTTAGTTTTAAAAATTATACATTTTTTTTTTTGGTGTGTGTGTGTGTGTGTGTGTGTGTGTGTGTGTGTGTAAGTACCTGTGGTAGCCAGAAGTATTCAATCCCCTGGAACTGGAGTTATAGGCTGATGTGAGTTGCCCAAATAGTAAGGGGACTTAAAATGTCTTCAATACAAGGAAATGATATACCCAAGTTCATAGGCTTTCAACTTGTTTGTGGTGGTTGAGAATGTCCCCCTTAGGCTCCAAGTATTTGAACACTTTGTCCCCATTTGGTGGTGCTATGTGGGGAGGATCATGAAACTTGCTTGAAGATGTGAGCACTTAGCTTTCTGCTCTGGCTGCCTCCCACCATAACTCTCTGCTCTGATGGATTCTTATCTGTTTGGAACCCTGAGCCCAGCAAACTTCCTTCTACAAGTTACCTTGGTCGTGATGATTTACTACAGCAAATAGAAAAGTAACTAATGCATTACTGATCATTGCATAAGGATACACATGTATATATACACATGTATATGTATACTATATATGTATATAGTATATAAATATATACAATTATTATGTGTCAGATATAAAACGTAAATGGGCTGGGGCTATTGCTCAGTGGTAAGCACTTGAATAGAAATGCATGAGGCTTTGGATTTAATCTCCTGTACAGCAAAAATAGACAAACTACCCTTAGAAATAGTTCTTGTCATGAAAAATGTCTGCAATAGTCTCATGTATTTGCACACTTGGTGTCATTGTTTGGGAAGATTGTGGAACCTCTTCAAGGTCAAGCCTTGCTGGAGGAAGTATGCCCCAGCTGGTTTGCTTTGGTTCCTGCCAGCTCTGCATATGGCAGCTCTCAACATGGTGCCCAGTATCCACCTTCTAGAACAAGCGGACCCTGGTGGGAGGTTGGAGAATGGAAGCAAGTTGGCAGTCCTGAGACAGGGTGCACTACAGCCCACCCTCCTGCAGACCATGGATCTGTTTGGACTGTTCTGGAGCCTTCGCTCTTGATTGGGTAGAATCTTAGGAGTGGCAGTAAATGGTTCAGATGCAGACTTTGGGGGAAGTGACTGAATCTTTCAGACTGTAGCAAAATAAATGGATCAACCCATTGGTGGACTCATTATTAGAGGGCATTATTCCTGAGTTATAGACACCAGTACATAGTTATACTTTGAAGGTATTTTTGGAAAGTCATAGAAACTAACTGAAAAAGACTGTCACTGAGGCTTTTGATCCACCCACAAGAAGGAAGTCATGCCTGGAATTCACAAGAGTCAGCCTTATTCAGATACCAGATGTCACCAGAGGCAGGAGGTTCAGAGCAGTATGAGATCAAGTCAGAATAAGAGACTAGTTACAAGTGATGGGTGATTCTGTGAAAATTGTCACATGACATTTAATCTCTGGACCAAGAGAGAAGACAGTTCTCATGTTTTCCCTGTCCAATACAATATGATATTTTAAAATGTAAAACACACACAAAAAGAAAAAAAATCAAATTACTTCACTCAGAAGGTACTTGTGGATCAGCTACCCTGCACTGGGCAGTAAGCAAGACATTGAGATCAGCAGCAAAAGACAGAAAGCCCCATTTTGTCTCATATACAGAATACCATGCAATGTCACAATGAGGTAAAGACCTGACTGTGAGGTCCTGGAGGGCACTCAGAACCCTTACTGGATACATGGACCCTGGTTCCTGGTGGTAAGCAGAGATAGTCTGGAAATGACCAAGGAAAAGAGGATTCTGAGAGGAGGAAAAGAATGTACAGAGGCCTGGAAATGTCAAGTCCAAGACCAGAGTGAGCTGCGACTTCCTCCTCGGTTTGAAATGGTCAAGAATCAACAGTCTGTTCCAGGTTGATGTGCAACTGTTAACCCTAGTTCCTCCACAAATGAGGTCGATATCACTCTTCCTATTTACTTGAAGCTCCGCCAGCGCTCATGAGAGGTGCACTGGTGATCAGCAAGGAGACTGCCAGGAAATGCTCGAGCACAGCCAGGATCTGATCCTGGGGAAGGAGCCGTCTGGACAGTGGCCATCATCTCTGCTTTAGGGTTTGGCTGTGGGGGGGGGGCGGGGGAGCTGAGCTGCTTCCTCCAGGGAGACTTCAAGCAGGGCAGAGGCTCCGTTTCACCAGCCTTCCCTGCAGTTCTGAGGATGCGCCTGCCTCCCTGCTTCCCCCATGCAGTGTGTGGAGACCCAGGAGGGTCTTTTATGAAATTGTGGAAATGTTTAACCATGCAGGGCTCATGAAAGTAATACATCAGACCATCCTGACTTAATAAACCTTGACAAAAATACATATGTGACATGTACTGTTTCATAATAAATAAAATGTTATAAATGTAACAAAGATTCTTCCTTTTAGGGTAATTTTCTCATGTGCTCTTTCTGTTTTCCACAAAACCATGTGTGTGAATCATTATGTGGATGACTAGGGAACATGCAGCACTTCCAAAGACTGAAAAATAAAGTGTGAGTCGTCACAAAAGCCCAGCAAGTCATATGGTCTAGGTAGTAGAGACAGAATCATCTGAAGTCACCGATAGTCACTACAACGCCAGCATTTATCTATAGAAACAGTTCAAAAGAAGATGCCCCTCATTTAGGGATCATCTTCAATTCCTTCATCAAGATGCTTATAAATGATTGAAAAATAATTATTTGAACCAACTGGCTAAATTACACAACTGTGAAGTGTTCTTTTTCTATGAATCCTATAACATGGGTGTTAAAAATATTCTATCATTATGACCTCAGAATTATTGATCTGTTCCTCACTTTTCCCTAAATGCCCATTCCCTCTTAAGCATTTCTCAACTCCTTTATCCACTATGAAGGTCTAAAAAGGAAGTGGAGTTGATTTTCTTTCCTCTGCTTTTAAAACACATCATAAAACCTCTTCCCTGGACACATCGTTCCTCCCTTCTCTTTTCAATTACTCGTTCTAATCTTCATAAACATAGGAGGATTCCCAAACAGAAGTACACAAGAAGTGATATTGTTCATAAAAATCAGAAATCCCAACCCAACTTAAGGATCTTTTGGCAGTTGATGGCTGCTGGGAAGGGGAAGACAGTGTCTAACAGGATGGGATTCTTTGTGTCTCAAATCCCAAGAAGCTGGAGTTACAGGAAGTTATGAGCTGCCCATTATGAGTATTAGGAACCAAACCTGGTTCTCCGTAAGAGCAGTACATGCTTTTAACCACTGAGCATCACTCCAGCCTCAACTGGTGTGTTATGATCATTTATACTAAAAGTAATTGACAGAATTAGATTAAGTCTGTCATATTTATAATGGTTTCATGTTATTTTTCCATTTTTCTCTTTTTTTCTGCTTAAAAAAATTATTCTTATCTTTTACCACATCAAGTATACTACTTTTTAAGGCTCTCATGCATGTTCCCGAGTTCCTAAATTGCATGTTAAATGCAGATTAGTTTAAAAGTAGCACTGTACTACCACGTTTCACATGGTGTATATGTTCCTTTTGCTTCATTCACTTGGCAGATGAGGCGTTCTAGAGGCAATAATAACACTTTCTAGTTCTTATTTTTAAAAAGTTGTTAACCAGGCTGGGCGTGGTGGCGCACGCCTTTAATCCCAGCACTTGGGGGCAGAGGCAGGAGGATCTCTGCGAGTTCAAGGTCAGCCTGGTCTACATAGTGAGTTCCAGGCCAGCTGGGGCTACAGGGAGACCCTGTCTCAAAAAGACCCCCCCCCAAAAAAGTTGTTAACCATTCACACTTTATATTTTGTGCTTTCAAATTCTCCATGTGTATTTGATTTGTTTATATGAATCGCATGAAAAACATTTTTCTTTCTATCAGAAAGGAAAATATCAAAACCTGATGGATGTTTAAAAATGTAAATTATGATCACATCTTCTTTCAGAAGAAATTTTCATTTATTTTAGATGTCAAATGGAACAATAACTTTTGAGTTACAATGTATGATATTTTTGAATTATGCTCACAAAACTTTTTTTTTTAACTTGGGAAAGTATTTACAACATAAATAGAATAACAAGGTAAGGGTCTCATTGTGATGTAAAGAGGACACGAATTATTACATTTTTTTTTTGGTCTTTTTGAGACAAGGTCTCCCTGTAGCCCCAGCTGGCCTGGAACTCACTGTGTAGACCAGGCTGACCTTGAACTCACAGAGATCCGCCTGCCTCTGCCTCCCAAGTGCTGGGATTAAAGGCATGTGTCACCACGCCTGGCTGAAAATTTGTTTTTTTTTTTAAAATTATTTATTTAATAACCACATGACTAGAAGAAGCATTTCATTACAGCTTTAATATATTCAATAACAATTTCCAGAGCAAAGATA